ATTTGACAGATGATAAGACACATTTAGTAGAAAATGGAGACGTGGGGTAATGCAGTAGCGGCCCAACTCGTGTCTCTACACCAGCTTATTGTTACCCGATCAGTGCTCCCTACACGGTGTTGATTAGCTGTGTTGCCGAGAGGTACATAGATACTCCATGGAGAAATCCTTTGAAGAAGTTTTGTGCTACTCTGATGTAATGCAAAGCTGGAGTATATGGTCCTGCCCTAAGACATCGCAATGTCGCAATTCGACCACATTTTTATATGCATTTTCGTTAAGTTTGGGTACTCCTTCACCCTTGGGGGTACTCTTTGCATGCATGCATCGAGTAGTCACGTTTTTGCATTGTAGCTTAACGCACGTACAAACATACACACATATGAGCGGCCGGCACAGAACAGCGAAGAAAACCAAAACAAAATCACTTCGATTTGACTTCAAACCTTGGCTTAAGTTCTATGCGCTGACATAGTTACATACCTATTTACGCACGTAGACTCTACGTCGGCACACAAACACACAAACGCTTATTGGGCAAGCTTAACATAGGACAAACATACGTATAAATGTATGTACATGTGTACGTATGGCTGCACGGTGGAGAGAATACAGAACGTGGCGCCGATGGCAATACTGTTAATGGGCTCTCAGTGAATTTGACAGAATCAGCTGTTTTGCTGACGTCACAGTCGAGTTGACAGCAGTAGTGATGTGCTGAGTCAATCATTTTAAGTATCCAATACTCTCGATACTCGGTATATGGAAAAAACGGTTCAGGGGAGCCTCACCTATCAAAACCCGAATGTAGGAGCCAATAGAACTTTTAGTACTGATTCAAATGAAAGATGCATATAGGTCGGTTCGAGGCCATAATACAGAGAAACTCTTACTTGTTTGAAGTAGTTTTGTTCCAGCTGAATCGGACGATCTCATTTTTGTAGGCAGATTCTGTAACCAGTTAGCGGCAGATTCTGTAACCAGTTAGCGACAATTTTCGAATCGGTATCGGTTTTGTTGACGTATGATATGAAATATTTTTACGTCAACAAAAGCGATATCGATCCGAAACTTGTCGCCATTATTATTATTGTTGGGGATAAAGCACTGCGACCTTAAGATCTATTGTGCCCCCTTCATGGATTATAGAGTGCCTATTAATCCACTAACCGAGAGAAACTTTATAATGCAAACTAAATCTACGGATTTCAATTCGCCTTTGGTTAACATATGTTCACCCAGGTGGCTTTTGCGTTTTTGTGCATCAGTGCAGGACATTCTTCTAAGATGTGCTGTGCAGTCTCGTTTTCCGTCCTGCAAAACTGCATCGCTCATGTGAGTAAATTCCCAGTTTAGTCAGGTGATAGTTCAGCTTGCAGTGTCCTGTCAGGATTCCTGTAGCAATTCTTAAGTTATTCTTTGATAAGCTCATATATTCCTTGAAGCGTTTTAGGTTATATGGTCCTAAAAGTGCTCTGGACTGCTCTAGACCTGGTAGATTATCCCAGTAGCGTTTTCTATGAGCCTCTTCCTCTAACCGAACAAGTTCGGAGAGTGCCGCTTTTCCCAGGCCACAGAAAGGGTCTGGGCCGGTGAAAGGGGTCGGTGCACCCTTCTTCGCTAGTTTATCGGCAATCCCGTTTCCTTTAATACTAATATGTCCCGGAATCCAGAGAATCCAAACCTGATTGGTCAGACCAAGATTATTCAGCTTTTCGAGGCACTTTATCACCAGTTTAGATGTTACCTGGTGAGATCTGAGGGCCTTGATAGCCACTTGGCTGTCAGTCAAGATTGCGATGTTCTGATTCCGGTAGTTTCGCTTGATATTAAAGTCCACGCATCTTTCTATGGCGTATCTTTCAGCCGGGAAAACAGACATATGTTAATCCATGGGTTCCGAGTATCTTAACCTTCGGTCCAACTACCCCTACCCCGGTACCCTCGTCGGTCAATGAGCCATCAGTGTACCAGGTAATCATGTTGTGCTTTATCCGATACGTCTCGGATATGCCAGCCCAGCTCTTCTTATTAATCTGATCAGTTTTAAACCTCTTTGTAAAGCTGTACCTCCGATGCATGGTATCCCTCGGTATTGCAATTTCAGGGAACTTCCCACGGCTAAGATACCCTTCTGCCCCGATATTGGAACAAGTCATCCGTAGTAAAGCTCTCTTCGCCTGAATCTGTATGTGAATATGAAGAGGGGTAAGATCTAGAAGAACCTCCAAGGATGCGGTTGGACAGGTTCTCATGGCTCCGGTTATGCATACGCATGCCAGCCTTTGTAAGTTGGAGAGCACTTTGGTTGTTCCAAGTTTTGGAGTTCTATCGGCCCAGATGATGGCTCCATAAGCTATCATGGGTCGTACTATAGTCGTTTAGATCCATATCAGTATCTTTGGTGTGCATCAGACATTGGCAAAGGGTGCTGTTTTTGTGACTTTAAGCCTACTCACGTTAAAAACGGGGGATGAACGAACACCAGCGCAAAGCGTGCTGTCTTGCAAATACAGCCAACACAAGTGAACGATACTTATAACAGCTCATACTGATATGGATTTCGGCAAATATGTACTCCGAATGATCGTGCACGCTATGCGCTGGTGTTCAGTCAACCTCTAATTTCGTTTAGGTATCGACACTACTAAGCCAACGCCGCTGCTCAGTCATACAAAGTAGCAGTATTGATTGAGTATGAAACAGTTGACGCTCAACCAATGCCAATCCCTGGTGTGCATCCCCAACTCTTTCCTGCCACGGACCTACACGTCATAAATGTTAAGTTAAGAAATGTTAAAGCTGTTAATGACTCCTCAGTCAGGATTTTTGGAGGAGAGGGAGGGAAGATGGGATGGGGTAGGATTAGGGAAGGGGACGTCGGTGCGGTGATCTTGCATGGAAACCAGAGTGCGTGGTATCACACTTACCATGCGGGCGAGGTTGACACACTATGCAAGCTTCCATCTTAGTTCGTGGTGATATGTCGGTTGCCGAAGCGGCCAACATATTACCACTTAATCCCCATACCCACGGCAAGGAGACCGACATTGATGAGGCGTCGCTAACTTGTTACAACTCTACGGTGACGTCACGCCGAAATTACTCTCACGAATTCTGCTGCAATCGGCGCAATCTTGTATTCTATCATTCTTGGTATGGCTGCATAGTGGAGCCGCCGGCAAAGCGACAATAGGTCCATTCAATAGCTTTTCCAGTAAGTACTTGCAGCGAGAGCGTAAAAGAAAAATAGAGAGTAAAATTGAGAGCAAGAGAAAATTTTCAGAAAAAGTTATTGAAAGCAAACTAGTAAAAACTTGCTACTTAAGCCATTTTGGCACTTTCTGACGGTTAAGTTTTGGCGCGCAATTTTCTTTTTAATTACGAATCGTCATAAAAATAAAAAAATATAAAATAGACTTAAATTTTTCATCCATATTTTTATTTCACTAATTATGTTTCATCAAATCATCCTCTTAAACAGTTTGCTTACATTTGAATTTGACACATAACCTTACTTTTTGACTCCTGCAAATTCTTGCTAGCAAAATTTTTACTTGCAAGAATGTGCTGCTCTCTCGGGTTGTTACGCTTTTGAATTCGCTCTCTCTTGCAAATATTTTGGGTTACTGAATGCATTTCCAGTAAAAACTTGCAAGTACTAGTAACAATTCGTAACAATTTTTTGATATCGAACGGACCTCATAACAGCGAAAACAACAAAAACAAAATAACTTCAATTTGACTGCGATGCTTCACTTGAATTCTGTGAGCCGCCACACTTAAAGGCAAATAACACACCTATTGTTTTTGCTGTTGTTGTCAAGGTTTATCTATGTAGTTTCAAATCAGGTTTGTTGCGAATATTATTCCGAAATAAAAGTCCTTTCCGGATAATAAACAAACCGCTTATCCAAATTAAACAAGTTTGGTACCAACTTAAAGAAGACTTTAATATCTTTATAACTGAAATGTCTAAACGAGGAAAAATATTTCAATAAAAAATGTTAATCAAGTACCATAGAACAAACCTTGTGTCAGGTATATGCACTTCTTTAGTATTAAATTATAAAAAAAAATATAAAAATATAAATTAAGATCGTTCGTTATTTCTGTTTAAAAGCTATTTCATTCCTCTTTCATATGATACCAAATTTCTTTAATTTCGACAGACGGTTTGTTTATTATCCGGAAAGGACTTTTATTTCGGAATTACATTCGCAACAACCCTGTCTCAAATCACTTCCGCCGCTAAAGAAGTTTTCACTTCAAAAATTAAAGTATATAAATAAATATATAAATAGAAAATATTCTATCGGAGGTTATGGGACTTACTTGCGCAGTGCGATTGCCGAGAAAAGAAAAAGACGGAGCATATAACTTAAGCCTACGAACGTTTATTTGCGAGTGAGAGAAATGTTAAGGCTGGTTTTCACTATGTCAAATTCAATGGCATTTGTCGTCAAATAAATTAAAACACATTGCCAAATGTGATCAAAAATCGGTTTATCGTTTGATTTGGATCAGGATAGGTTTTTGGACGTGCACAGGCGCTACGAAATCGGCAATCTCAGTTTTTGACCCATAATATCATTGGTAAAGGTATGGATAAAGGAGATAAAGTTGCGTCAAAATATGACGCCAAATTTTGGCGTCAAAATATGACATAGTGAAAACCAGTCTTTACACATTTACATATCTGCATAGCTAATCAACAAAGGGAATGACATTCCGAAGAAACAGTAATGGCTAATATATCATGTTGCTTAATAATTCTTACAACCAACACTCCTCCTCAACATATATATGTATACCTATCGTGATTTATTTTATTATTATTATTTTTCATTAATATAATCCCATGCCAGCCCTAAATTTACAATGTTTTATCTTTTGAAGATTTTTGGTTAACATGTCAGATACCATCTCTTCAGTATACACGTAATTTAAACATATTTCACCTGCTTTATATAAATCTCTAACATGATGATATTTTAAATCTATATGCTTACTTCGAGCATGGTAAACAGGGTTTTTACTAGATGTAACGCACTTTGATTGTCGCTATTGATTAAAGAAGGCCCCTTAATAGGGAAACCCATTTCATGTAAAAGCTTTCTTATATATATAACCTCCTTTGCAGCTGTGGAAAGCGCAACATATTCGGCTTCGGTGCTGCTAAGGGCAACGACGTTTTGTTTTTTCGATTTCCATGAGAATACTGCGCCCGCTGCATAAAACGCACTGTCTGTATAAGATTTTCTGTCGCCAACATCAGCACCCCAATCAGCGTCGACGTAGCATTCAATAGGGTGGCCCAATCTGTGGTAGCGTAGTTTTAAATCGATCGTACCCTTCAAGTAGCGTAGTACGTGTTTAGCTTCATGCTCAGAATGTGGATCGCTGTTCTTTTGCGAAAGTTTACAAACCGAGTGTAGAATATCCGGTCGGGTAGAGATAGCTAAATACATCAATGCCCCGATCAGCGACTGGTACTCCCTTTTATTCACACGTCTGCACTTCGCGTCATCACAGCTTACTTGGAATACGGCATTTAACGGCGTGACTACAGCCTTACAGTCAGACATACCATACTGGCTCAATAGATCAGCAATATATTATTTTTTTACCAAGTGTAATTGCGCCCGTTTCCCCTTCACGCTGGATATCCAATCCCAGAAAATATCCTAATTCTCCACCGACAACCACATCGAATTCGTCTGCGATGTTTGCTTTAATCGCAACTACGTCCTCTAACCGCGTGCCGCCTACAATTAAGTCGTCGACATTTACAGCTATTATGTTATAGTACCCATTCTCGTGCTTCGTATATACACAAGGCTCGCTGACGCATGGCGAATACCCAAATGACTTCAAAACTGTGTCCAACTTTGAATTCCATTCGCACCCGCTTTGGTTTAATCCATATAGCGCCTTATTCAACTTCAAGACTCGGTGTGGAAACTCTTCGCAAACAAACCCCTCAGGTTGTGTCATATAAATGGCTTCGTGTAAATCGCTATTTAGGTATGCTTAAGATACGTCCATTTGGTGCAAATGCAACTCGTGCTCACACGCCAACGCCAATATCAATCGAACCGTCGCATACCCTTACACCGGTGAAAACGTTTCCGTGAAGTTCACTCCAAAGCGCTGACTGCACCCCTTTGCCACCAAACGACTCTTAAAGCGTTGAATACTGCCATCTGCGTTTTTCTTTACGTTGAAGACCCACTTGTTGCTTATGACATTTTCACCAGGAGGGACGTTCACCAACGACCAAGAGGCCCTCCACTCTGCTGCATGCTCGCTATTCAACGCCTCGCTTACGGAGTTTGGTACTGATACTTCGCTGCTTTCTATTATATTTAATATGTGCCGTTCTTTCCGAGGACGACCACGGCTTCCACTGCGTACTAATTTTGGTCTACCCGGACCATACCGCACTTCACCTGCACAATCGTTGTCTTCATCATTACCTTCACCACTAACTTCGCCTGCGGACTCATCGGCACAATCTTTCGCCGATTCACGTTCAGCATTTTGCTCGTTAACATCTGGGCTAACAACTTCATTTCCAAATGATGTGATATCGATTTGTTCGCATTCGCGGCCAAGGTATAAATTTTCTAAATGACTTCTCTACTGGTAATTACCTTTCGCGTGGTTGGGTCCATCAAGCGATATGCCTTGGAGGTGTCGGAATAACCCACCATTACTAATTCCTTCCCTTTTGGTCGAAACTTCTTTGACTGTGTTTTGTCAAGCGCTATGGCTAACGAGCCGAATACCTTAAGATGCGCAACTGAAGGCTTTTGACCCTTATAAACTTCGTACGGCGTTTTATTAGCCAGCGCTTTTGTTGCTGCTCTGTTCCGGAGGTAAACTGCCGTCGACACCGCCTCTGCCCAAAAATGTTCGCCCAAATATTATGCACCAACATGCTGCGTGCCATCTCAACGAGAGTTCGATTAGCCCGTTCGGCCACGCCGTTTTGCTGAGGTGTGTACGGGGCTGTCAACTTTCGTTGTATACCATTATCAACTAAAAACTTTTCAAACTCTTTGTTTAGGTATTCACGGCCATTATCGCTTCTCAACATTTTGATTTTACTATCAGCTTGTTTTTCTACCATTTGTTTAAATGACTTAAACGCAGCGAACACCTCACTTTTTGCCTTTAAGAAGTACACAAATATATACCGGGATTTGTCGTCTATGAACGTGAGAAAATACCTGGAGCCGCCAATTGAACTCTTGTTCATAGGGCTGCACAAATCAGAGTGCACCAATCCTAGTAAGGTTCTAGCACGACTTTTCGATGTTTGGGCAAAGGCTTAACACATATCTTGCTCTTTGCACATGTTACGTAATCAGTTTAATTTAAATTATTTGTAAACTTTAGGCCGTGTATGAGTTGTTTATTTGACATTTCACATAAACTATCAAAATTTAGGTGACCGAATCGGTTATGCCAAATCGTAATTTCGTTCTCTTGTATTGCACCGAAACATTTGTACGTCTTTCTCTTAAACACAAACAAGCCACCAACTTGCTGCGCTCTTATCAATACTGCTCCGTGCTCGTCTTTTATCACCGCTTGATTATTCTCAAAATTTACGACCAATCCGTGATCACATGCCTTGCTTACCGACACAAAATTGCACTTCAAATCGGGTACATGCAAAACGTTCTGTAGTGTAACTCTACCGCTCTCAGTTTGCAAACTACCTTCACCAATTCCGTTCGCTTCTATATACTTGTTTCCCGCCAATTCAATTCTCTCGTTAAGCTCTTTATATGTCACAAATAATGTCCGGTCACAGCACAGGTGTGCAGTTTCACCGCTATCAATGCACCACTCATCTCTTTTTACAACGCTTTTATCAACTTGCAATGTTGTGTGTCCAGAAACTTTCAATGTTGTGGATCCACAAACTTTCAATGTTGTGTGTCCGACACCATAAAAGCTTTGCTTGAAAAGTTCATATTAAAAAGCATAGTGCATAGGGCGACATCTGTAGTGAATAGGGCGAGGTAGATGACATCTAGATGTCGCCCTATGTACTACGTTTGCTACAGCGGAAATAGACGACACGCCATTTCTTTAAATAAAATAAATTGGTGCTCGTTTGTATGTACATACATATGTAAATGCATGTGTGTGCACCTTTCTATTAATATCGTTGAATTATTTTAATATCTATTGCAAAATTTTATTCAGACAGGACTAAAAAGTAGAAAATAAATAATATAAAAAAAATTTTTAATATACAACGCTTTTATAAATGGACTAAAAAGTAGAAAATAATACTTTTCAGTCCCATAGAATTTGTTTTGATAACTTTTGATTTTGAAATTTTAGCAAAAGTCATTATAAACAATCT